ATTGTATTGTTTAAACATAGATGCAAGATGAAATGAATTTCGGAATACTACCTCAACATGATGTAGAAAAATTCATTTTTGGTGTGGAAGATCTACCCTTGTTAGTTTTACGTATTTTTTAAATAATTTTATATTTTTTAATTTTAATACTTTAAATAAAATGCGTTTAAAATTAATGAAATTATTAAAATACGATAAATAAAATGAAAAGAATACATTCATCATTAATATTTATAAGATTATTTACATTTATAATTTAGAAATGAAATACGAAGATTTCATTGGGAACAATCAGCAGAAATTCCTGGAGAATCGATACGGGTTTCTTTAGTTGATGTTAACAAATTTGAAATTGATACAATTGAAACTGAAAAGGAGACACGAGTAGCATCCGCTGGAAGTGATCAACGTAAATCTTTGATTGTTTCTAAAGGTGAATTTAATTATTTTTAGTTATAAATAAGTTTCTCTTGTCTTTATAAATATTATTTTTTAGATTCTCACGTTAAAAAGCCTACAGTTTCTAGGAAAAGAACTTTAACTTCTCCAACAGAAACTCCTACAAAAAGAAGCAAGGTGTGTTTCGTTGAAAACGGAATTTCAATATTAAAAAGGTTTAATATCATTTTAAAATAATTAATATAAATTTTATTTGAGACTTTTTCTTTATAGATAGAAGAAGACTTACTACCTGCACTTCCAATTGAACCATTACCTGAACCTTTAGCTGAACCAGCATCAATAACTAAAGTTTTACTTCCACCTGAATTACCATCTGAATTACAACAAGAAAGTTTACCTGTTCTTGAAATTACAGAATTACCAGAAGTAACAAAATCAAGAAAAAGAAGAAAACTTTTTGACAGACAGATTAAATTATCTGACACTCTTATGCGGAAATATATCCAGAATGTTACAGCTCATACCATAGTTAGTTACAATTAAGTGGATATATGATTTAATTATTTTTAAATAAATATTCTTATTTTTATTTATTTTGTAGCAACAGCCCTGGTTTATGCCTACTTTACCATCAGCAAAGGAATATCTAAGGCAACCATCAACAAAAATTTTCAATAAATTATGGGGAGAAACATTAACTACATTTTTTAGTCAATATTTTATCAAACCTTTAGCGCAAACAGTTCAAGATGAATTTCAAGATATCTTTTTTGAAATAGAACGAACAATAGGTAAATATTTCTTATTTTAATAAAATAATAAAAAGATAAACGATCGAATAAATCCATAAATGTATTATCAAATTATAAAAATTGCATTGAATTACAATTTTTATTTTATAGCTGGAGAAACCATTCGCATGGACGTTTTAAGTAGAACAGACGAATTAACAGAGAAAACTTATATAAGAAAAGATATGACTACTACATATGAAATGATTGATCCATCTAAAATATCAGAACAGATACTTTCGACAGAAAATCTTGAAAGAAAAGAACTAGAAGAAAAAAAAAAAGAAACTAAAGATTCTGAGGAAACTCTAATACCTGATCTTCCTGAAATTACAGATTTTGAAGAAAAAATTGGGTAAAATTTCGTTGCTATTTAATTTATCTAAATATTTCACTTTATGTTATATATAATATATAATACATAATATATAATTTCCAAATTTTTTAGAGAAAAGATCACAATATTAGAGAAATCCTCCGATGAGAAGAAAAGAAAATCCAGTTCTTCCTCTGAGTCAGTTATATTTATTTTTACAAATGCAATTATAAATTCATAAATCCAATATATCCAGCAGATTGAAAATTTCATAAAAATTTATTTTTTATTGTAGGTCAAAGACGTGTTTGACCAAAAAAGAATTGTTAGTATTAATGGAAATTCATTGGCGTGAAAAAACAATAATAAAATTTCATACTTTAATTTCACCAGAAAATTACAATAAACTTGATGCTGCAACCGCATTTCGATATTGTTTAGGTAAATTATATTATTATATTTTTTCAAATACACAGCAGATTTTCAATGATAACTGATATTTATTTCAAATATTTTTAGAATTTCATGCAGAAAAAGATTTAATTCTGAAACAAGCTGAACCTTATGATACAATTTGGATAGAGAAATATCCTCATTATATTTCAAAAAATGACAATGACATTGCTACAGTATAATTATTTGTTATGATTAATTATAATTAATCATATAAAAGATGCCACATAGTAAAATATTTATCATATAAATTTATTTTTATAAAACAAATATATAATAAATGTATAATATTACGTATTTAACATATGGTATACATATAATATAAGCATTTATCACTACAAATTGTTTTTAAAATAGAATTTAAACTTAAATTGTTCTGCCATATGTTTTGAACATAGATTATAATAAAGCTTTTCTTTAATAGAAATGTTATTATATAAAAGTATATTCTTGCTCACAGTATAGAAATTAGTATCTGTTATGTTTATAGTATTCTGCACAATTAATAATATATTACTTACAAAATCATTTTAATAATATTTTTAGTGCACATAATGTAACAAAACGCTTATTTTATTTATGAATAAAGAAAACTTTTTTATTGAAGCAAATTTTGTCAAATTTTTTAACATGTTCATTATTTATAGACACTTGTTAGGTAATGTGCATTTCTAAAAGATATATAACTGTATCATACATATAAAACTATATATATATATATATATATATATGCTGTAATTTTGAAATCATTTTGAAATTATAATAATTCTAAATTATAATATTAAATAAATATGTACATTTACTGGACAATGTATGTTTATCATATTCAAATAATTCAGGACCTTAATAACAAATTTTATATCTGATTTAGTTTATTCTTTTATATTATTATTCTTTTAATTATTATTATTCTTTTAATTAATTTTACTAGAAATAAATGAATGAAATTTTTAAAAAAGTATATATATTCAAGATAATAGAGTAATTTTTTTTTAACCCTTTGTCCACATTTAATTGAAAATGAATCAATTGCAACTAAGTTGCAGTATCACCATGACTTGTAAGAATCATTATGAACAAAATAAAACAAAAAATGTGTGCGATTACAAGCGCTCAATATTCAATGAGTAATTAGCATTTAGGCATCAATAATACATTGATCATTTCCATTAAATTCTTGTAAAAATGTCTGGCAGTCAAAGGGTTAATAAGTTACTGCAAATTATACCTTTCTCATTATATATCTGTGGTAGTTAGATTTTACTATTCACGAAGTCTCGCTAATCGCTGTGTAAGTTCATCTTGTTCTTGACTGACGGTAGAGGTACCTATACTACCTAATTGTCCAGATGGCAATTCCATATTTAACTCCAGACTGAAAAAGATTATATATGATAAAGTTGATCCTTATTATTATTTCACAATTATATAATTTTATACAAAATAATGTTAAAACAAGTATGTACCCAGCTTCATCTGCAACTTGTTGTAATAAAGAATCAACATCATTCTGTGGAATATTGGTTGTTGTAGTCTGAGACATGGCATTCTCCATATATGAACTTTGTACATCTAAATCTTCAAATTGACTTTCAAACTTATCCATTAAACCTAAAGATTAAATTTATTATACAATAATTTCAATATGTTTATTATTATTACAAAGCAGTAACATACAAATATTAATGTTTCATTACCTGAAATTTTTTCTAAGTTCATTGACTTCATTGCTGCATCCATAGCTTTAACTACTCCAGCCATTGACTGAGTAACTTTACGCGTAGTTAAAGCAGTTTGTACTCTACTAGCCACTGCATCAACTCTTGCACTCATTCGCAAATAATTAAGTGCTTGATTACGTTGACGAATTGCATTTTCTGCGTGAATTCGTGCACCTTCCATATTACCTTTTTGAATAGCTTTCTTTATTTTTGCCTTTTCTACTTTTTCTTCTTTTTCGCATTTCTTCGAATTTCTCTCTAATTCCTTTACAGCAAATTTGAGATTGAATAAATTTCCTTAACATTAATTTAGGAAAATCTTTTAACATTTGTTTAAATATATAAAATATTTTCAAATGTCTATAAAAACAATTTAACCATATAACCTCAAAAATAAATTTCTATTTCAAAAATTGATAACATTTATTAAAAATGTAAAAAGATAATTGCAATTTGCTTTTACAGCATATGCAAATGAAATTACTAATCAATAAAATAAAGAGAAAACTGAAAGTGTAAAATGAAAATTATATACAACTTTTTAAATACAAATTCGTATGAAGATAAAATAGAATTTACACTTAAAGAATTGATAAAGCTTTTCATAAAGATAGAGTTTTTAACTTCATATAATTCAAATAAAATTAATAAAGAAGACTTAAAATCTGCAACTTGAGAAATATGTAAAACATGAATGTTTTTATAAAAGGATACTTTCCATCTGAGAGACGGACATGATTGACTGTTCAGCCCCCGTTGTGATAAAATATAAAAAATAAACGGTTCAAACAATAAAATTATTTAGCTTTTGTTAGCAAAAATATAACAAGTAACAATATGCGTTGTTATTTAATGAAGTCAATTGTCATTCAAATTTGAATTTACCTGGCATGACAATTATTAACATTTAACAGGTATTACTACACTAACTATGATTAATTTCAGTTTATTTAGTAGACCTAAGTAAAGATCACTGTATCATTACTAATCATTTGAGAAATGACATAGATGAAAAGTATATTATTGTAGATAGAGAAGTAGAATATATTTTTTAGAACATAAACTGCTATACCGATTGAGAATCCCGTAATATTGACTGACATAAGCATTAAGCAAATCCGTTCTTAGTCAACAGTCTTAAACTAAATTTTTATTTTATTCAATCATAGACGAATTGTAATATAGTGTACACTGATATTGTGTAGAATTTTTTATCGTATGTATTGTCTGTATCGTATGTATGTATAGAAAATATTAACAAGTAATAAGAAAGTGATTTAATCAAACAAGTTTAGTAAATGACGAATGTAATACATTTATTCTAATTTATTAGTTTACTAACATCGATATCCATGATTTATTGATTTGAGAAAAATAATCATAATTGTTGATGTAAAAAGAAATTCATCGAAAATCAGTAGAATGAGATTTTTATGTAAAATTTCTTTTGATAGTTATTGTTATTCTTAAACCTGCGAAACAAGTATGTACTTACGTGTCACAGACGAAATAATACTGATTTGTTTCAATGATTGATACACATTACACTTCTAAACTTATTAAATTTTGAATGTGTATATATATATATATAATATAATTATGAATGTATATATAGCATATATATTGTATGTATGTGTACATTTGTATACAATATATCTAATTAAATTTATGGTAATTCATCGTTAAAATGTAATAGAATTTTAATATGAAGTAAATAATTATTTTTTGATTTCTTACATAAAAAAATTTAATCATTTGTAATTGTATATGTATGTATATTTTGTATATTTACAAATGATACGTATTAACAAAATAATACATTTCTCTTAAGGAAAATGAAATATTTTGGTTGAAATTAATTGAAAAACTTTAACATTATATTATCACATCTTTCAATATCTTTTACATTTGGAGACACTATTTTCTATTTTCTATATTTCTAAATTGTAACGATTACAAATTTTTTTATACAAATATGTTTATGCAATGTACATCATTAATGATGATAAAGCATAAAAAGCATATTAAGAGAATAAAACATTTGCTAAAAAATATCTAAAGGCTTACTAGAAGACAAAAATAATGATAAAAATTGCTATATTAATATGCTATATTAATATATTTTATGATTTGTATATTAGATTAATATTTTAAATATGACTGATTAACTATTTACATAACATAAAATATTTCTTTTAGAAACAATAAATATCCAAAAAAATATTAAACTTCCATAATAATGACATATATAGTTCATTATACATAAATTGCAATAATTAGATAGTTTCTTACTTTACATTACATTGTATATTTATGTTTTAAAAATAAAATAAAGTAATCATTTATCTTCATCCTTGATCTATTTATTCATTAATCTTTATTTTACTCTATTCTATCTTAATCTAAATTTAAAGCTGCACGTTTGAGTATTCTATCTATGTTAAGCGTAGGAGTTTATAGTAATGCAAAAAAACTGAGAATTGAATACTCAAATTTTATTATTTACTTTCTTTAAAATAAATCTTGAAGCTTTATATTACAATTATATATTTGTATAATTTGTTACATATTAAAACATATTTTATTATAAATTTAAACAAAACAAAAATAAAAATTTTTATTTATAATAAATTTATTTATTTCAATATTTTGTTTAAGTTATTTAAAGTGAGGCTAATATTAATCATAATATTTATGATCAACTGCTAAAAAATATTTGATTCATTATCGAATTCACAGTTTTATTGCATTCTACACTTTGAATCTTAATACATTGAATTCGTTGTTAATACACATATTTACAATGTAAAATACATTATGGAACAGCATACATCAGATGGAAATTTTTCTAAAACTAATTTACATAAGCATTTTTTTGTAATCTACAAAAATATCTGTTGTATGTTATAGGAAATATTTTTAAAAGAAAAATAAATTCGATTGTCTAGATAATAATCTCTCTTGTAATAATAAACTTTTCTGTTATGAAGAAAACTTTTCTGTTATAATATTTAACATATAAAGAATTTAAAATGTTTAGTTATAGTTGTTTGTACTGTATTATAATAAGAATAAAAAAAAAATTAAATTTTAATTTGGTACAGAACAATAAATTAATTGTAAAAATAATATCAATTTTTAGTCATAGATTTAAAAAACTTGAGGTCTTTATAATAAGGAATATATTATAGTTTGAATAAAATATATAAAATGTAGTTTTCTAAATGAAAGATTCACATAGTTTCATATTTAGACAAATTCACATTGATCATATTATGTTATATATAAATATATATATATATGTATCTTTTAAAAATTGAACTTGTATTAAAAAAAATACAAAAATATTTAGAAGTCGAACTTTATTATTAACAGATAAATTACAATTTTGTTCAATTTTCAATTATTTTTAATAATATATCAATTTTAGTACAAAATTTTGTAGTTATTAATGTTAACAAACTTTCATTTATTTTATTTATAAAAGCAATTTTTCTTGATATTTAATATGCACAAATTAAATTAATTATTATAAAAAATAAATAAAACAATATGATATATTTAAACATAATGCAATATCCAATGTGAACAAAAAATAATATCAATGTAAAAATGTCTAAGATTCTAATTTATCTCTTATTTATTGCATACCTTACAGAACACCCTGTTTTAATAATATCTTGTAAACTGTAACATATAATTAGAAAATGAGAAATTCTTAATATATTAAGCTGAAATTTATTACAAGTTTAATATGGTAATTAATGTACTTACATTCATATTTTATATATATAATTTCTTTTCATCTTTTATGTGTACTAATAATTATGCAAAAGAAAAAATCTTTTATTAAGAATTACTCATTTTCTAATCACCTAGTAGCTTATAAAACATTTCATAATCATTTTTTATGATAGTTTTATAAATATATATTACTGATTAACTAATTATTTCAATAAGCAATGTAACTAATTAAAGAATTTAAAAAATTATTTGCCCACAACTTATAAAATTAAATATTTAAAGCAGTTAAATTCTATTAAAAATCAATTGTTTTATTGTTAAGAAAACACTGTAAAATCAATAATTTTCTGTATAGGAAATGATTAGAATATTATGAAAAATATGATATACAAATAATTATACAATCTTTGTGAGAAAAATTGATAGGAAAATTTATATGAAAATAAATAATTGTCTTATGCATTAAAGTAGTAACAATAATTGTTTAAAATTTATATTTAATATCACTAAATAATTAATAATTAAATTATTCCTTTACTACAGCACCAACAAAAGTTAAAAATTATTGCGATTTCATAATAAAAGTCACAAAAAATTAGAGAATTGTAATTTCTGAATTAAGGATAATGTCCATTATTCTGCAGAATTACAGAAAAAGAATATATATAAATATTTGTTTGAATTTAGTAATTAAGCAGTAGATAGCCAATAATTAAATCGCTGAAAATAAGTAATACTTGTTTAATTATTAATTATTTATTTATATATATTTGCAATTAATTACGCAATTAATTAATTATAAATCCACTATAAATTCGTTGTGTAATTAATTACATTGATTAATGTATAAGTCAAATATTGGGAAATAGTAATTCCGTCAATTACAAAAGTTTATTGATCATTTAACTGATCTAAAATGGACATTGTTATTAGTAATTTAATTTATCTGTCAATTATGATATAATAGTAAATAAATTTAACATGAATTAAAATTGTCAGATAACTGAATCCCAAGTTTTAATCAAGTAATTGATAACATTATTTATAAATATTTTCTACCATATCACTTTCCTTTTGTTGTATTACAAGATGGCATGCATTTGAATTTAACATCAAAATCAATTTGTTCTTCTGAAGGAAGAGTATTATTGTCATCTTTTTCTATGTCTTCTTCATTTTCTTCATTGTCCTCCTCATCTTCATCCTCTTCATCTTGTTCAAGTAACTGTTTTCGAGCCATTTGAACAACTTGCCATTCTTGATAATGACGCTTTCTCTTTGCTTCAAATGCTTTACGTTTTTCTAAAATTTTTGTACATACATTGACTTTTTTTGTTTTATTCAATAATTATTTTAATATTTTTTATTTTTCTACAAACGATTAAAACTATTTGCTTTTTTTTAACATATTAATAATTATAATCTTAATAATAATAATGATAAAGTAACAATCGTTTCAATAGCAGATAAATTATGAGGTATATAAATGAATTTTACAAAATATAAATATAAATGTCATTGATAAATAAATTATCTCTATATGAAAAAATTTGTAATTCCTTACCTCTTTCTTCGAGAGTTTCTTTCTCATCTTCATCCTCGCTTGATTCTTCAAATATTTTTGGTTTACTACCTTCTGCTAATCTGTAAACGTTAAAAAAAATTTTTTTCAAAATCGAAATGAAAAGAAATATAATATTTAAGAATTTTCAATGTGTCGATCATTCAAACCTATAATTATTAATGAAATAAAACATTTATAAAAATTGAATTTGTGCAAACATAAATATATCATTACATATTATCTTATAAATATATTTAATTTAGAAATTTTTTCAATAAAATAAATTTTCATTAATCTTTAATTGTATTTAATTATTATTAATATTTTTAAACATAATTGAATAATATATAAAAATAAAATATATATAGCTATTAATACAGCAAATAAATGGAATAGAAATATCCAATATTTTATATGGTTTAGGTTGGTTAAATGACTACATAATACATTTAAATATTATAAATATATTATAATATATAAATATATTATAATAAACTTGTTTGTTTTTTACTACGTATATTTTTATAACAATTCTAATTTTTTTTGTAATAAAATTTGTAATTTATTTTAATCTTTTTAAAAATAATCATTAAGAATAAATCATGAATAAGTATGAATATTTTACAACCTTATATTTATACTTAATGAGCAGTATTTTTGGTATGTAACATTCCGAAGGATGTAATGTAATTAGACATAGCTGATTTATATTATTTTTATGACATATGGTTACATTTTCCTTTATTATTGTTAATTATTTGTATTCAAATTTAACACATTTAGCAATTAATTTTATAGTATTATATTAAATATTCTTCAATAATGACAACAACTAAAATGAAACAAATATAAATAAATAATAATAAAAATTTTGTAAACTTAGGAGAATATCAATTCCAAATTTATTGTTTACATATATTTTGATTTTAGTGTCACAGTACATGTCTATGCAAAAATTATTTTTCTGTGTTACTTACTTTTTAAAGGAATACTGCAGGAATAATATATTTAATAAACAAAACTGCTAAATAAAAATTTTGCGTAAAGAAATATTACATGCATTTATGATTAGAAATTTTCTAATATCTTGTAAAAAAATTACTGTTGTTTATATAGATTCTCCTTTATCTTTGGTAAGATATAATGGTAAGACATGGTAAAGTATAATAGTAATATAAATATTAAATTTTTTAAGTATATTAAATTATCAATGAAAATTTTGTAGAATGAACAAAATAAATAAATAATTATTTATAGTATACGGGATACTTTAATAAATATAAATATGTAGATAAAAATATTAATTAATCCTATTATATCTTACCAAGTTAGAATTTGTTTTGAATAATAAAAGACTAACAATTTAATAAAAAGAGTTTTTGTAAGTGTATGCATGTGTGTATAAATGGATTTCTTTGATATTTAAAAATGCTTAATATTTGAATAATACTTTAAATTCTAATTAAAGCTACTTAACTACTTTTCCGTCTTTTCTTGCGTGCATGTCAACTCCATTCAAGTGCTCAAATTTCACATAGTAGAAATACTTTTCTGAAAAAAGTGTAAATGTGAAAGAGACTTTCGGAAAATGTTTAATACTGTACGTATTAGTTAAGTTACACAATTTTTGCATAACATATTCATAGAAATTTTTTTATATTATTCATTGTAAAAATTGGATGCTTAATTCAAAATTTTGATTTTAAATAATAATATAAATAATATAATATATAATAATTTACATATTCATTTAATTTTTATTCAATTGTTCATTTAATTTTTTATGTTATGTTATATTAATTTGTGATTGTTCTATATTACATTAAAATTAATATTAATTTTATTTTCTTTATTAGTATATTTAAAAATTAAGTTTATACAAATTTTAAAAATGAATGCCAAAAATGTATGACATACAAAAATTATTTTGTAATAGCATGTAGTGGTATTTTGTAAAAGTATTTTGTTTTAAATGTATGTGCATTCAATTTTGACAATTAATAACATTTAAGAAATTATAACTATATGTCATATAATTTTCGACTTCGGGATGTTACATACCTTCTGAAACACTTTGTATGTTTCTTGGATGTATATTCGATTAAAACTGTTTGATCATAGTATTTGTAAATATAGTGAACCATCTTAAAAACTGATCCTGTTTACTCAAATTTTGGAAATGTAAATAATATTTTTCTGAAGAATTCAAGTAGTTTTTCATACAAGTACCTCTTTTTGTGTAGAATTACTGAAAATAATAAAGGAATACAACTCTGAGAAGCAAAAATAGCAAATGTACATTTTGAAGAACACTGAAACTTACCAATGAAGATTTATTCCAATAAAAAGAATAAATCAACATGAAATTTCTACACACATTTGCATATATTCTATCTTAATCTATTTTTAATATTCAACTCCAACATCAATACCAATACTTCAGTATTATGTATGTAACAATGTTATACCCTACATGGTGATACTGCTGCTTAGTAGAGAATAGTAGCATAACTTAAATTTGATAGTTTCCATTTAAGCCAATCCTGGTATAAAACTCTAAACAGATAACATAAATTAGACTGATTGAAAAACTTAAAACTTATAAAAACAAATATATTTCACATTAAAATCTGTGTGCAATGCTATTTTTAAGAAAAATTAAATTAAATTACAAATAACAATCAGTTTAAATTAAAATTATTTTTTAAATGTTCTTTAACAGATGTAACAAAAGAAATAAAATTAATAACTAAAAATTCCTTACAATAAATTAATTGATACTAAGATTGCAAAATTGTGTACATTGAGTTTTTTGAGCAATCAATAAGTAAGGTTTAATCTTTCTTTCAAATAAGATAATAAGTTTATGAATATTATACATTTCATCATTGTTGTATTATATATATTATAAGATAAGAATATGGGTATTTTTGTTAAATAAAATAGTATAACATATATTACAGACAGTAATTATATATACAGTATTACATATATCACAGATATTTGCTATTTACATAAACTAGATAATATAAATTTTAATAATATTAAAAATAATAATATTAAAAATAATATTAAAATAAATTTAGTTACTATTGGTATTCCTATATATTTTGTATGTTATAAAATTATGTATCCTATAATTATAATTAAAGTTCATGGAAAACTACCAATTATTTTTAATTTTCTTAGAATATGTAGTAATATGTAATATATATGAAAATAACTAAAAATATAAAATAAAACGCTTATTTTTAGTGGATTAACATAAATACTTACTTGGCAGCAACTGCAGTAGAATCTAATTGATCAAAATCAAATTCAGCTTGCAGGCCTTCATAGTTGTATGGGGTTTTTGGTTCATCGATCTTCATATGACCATAATCTTTTTCTGGTGGGTGCAATGTTGCAATTATATTCATCTCATCCCATTTTGTTTCTTTGCTTGGTCTGCGATAAAAGTTACTGTATTAAAAATTAAAAATTTATTCTTAATTTACTTAAATTATAAAGTGGATAATTCAAGCTTAAACTATAAGCTTAAATTATAAAGTAGATAATTCAAAATTAATGTAAAATATTATTAATTTCGTAATAGTATTTCATAAAATACTAATTATGATTCAAATTATAATTATAAAATTAACTATTTAATTATGTTATTGTAATAATTTTAAACAAAGTTACATGAATTAAATTACTTTACAATTATAGTTTAATTACTTATACAAAGTATAAAATATAATTAATATTTATACAAGAAAAACAAAAAAAAATATATATATATATATATATAAATGATTTTAATTAACATAACCTTAAAATACAGGTTAAAACTATCGTCATCTCTCTTTCTCGTATAATTTTTAGTTATAAAAAGATATCATTTGATTTTAAAAAAACTAATGACGTATGAATGGAATCACGGCTTTAATATAAAATAAATTTAGACAAATTCAGAAAATCATTTACCTGGGTACATCCGGATTATCGAAACTGCTAGATGATTTTAAAATTCCCTTGGGAGGCCGTTTCGAAAGATTTTCTGCCATTTTGAAAAGAGATTGATTCACAGTTGATAATTATAAAACATGACGAACCTTTGTAAAGTCAAATTCTCTTCAGATTTATTTTCACAGAAAATGAAAGCAACTGGATAGTTGTTTACTGACGATGACAAATTACCACCTTAACAATTTTAAGTTTTAAATCAAAAAATCACGAGCGCTGATTGGTGCCATGTTACACAAAACCGTATACAGGGCAGAATATATTACATAGTATATGCATGTTTTGTAATACAGTTTTGTCGTTTTCGAAGAGATTGCTGAAGCATCGAAATCTAGTTTTTGCAAGCAAAGTTATAGCTCTCTATTATGCAATAAGTCGTTAATGAAATTAAAAGTTTATATGTAGTATAAGAGATTTTATATAACAAAACATTAAATTGTCGTTTCGATTGGTCACAATGAAATAAGAAAAATTTCTCTACATTTTTTTTTTACTAATTTTTATTTTTGTTTAACAAATGTATTATAATAACATTATTATTATACATTAATACTTAATTATCATACATTGTATTATTATTATTTTATATACAATGTATTAAAATTTTGTAATAATGTAGTAACTTTAAATGAATTGCAATAAAATGATATATCTAGATACAGTGTTTTCACTGTGAATTAATATGCCACAATATATGTGTCATGTGTCAAATTATGTATATGACATGTAATTACTTACTGTTTATTTAATATAAGCAAATCAGATTGTAGCGCGGGAATATGTAAGAGCGATAGATATAGTTATTGATTTTTATCTACATTGCAACATTTAAGAAACATGAATATTTTAATTATATTTAATTGAAATCAATCATGCAGAATTATAATATAAAATATAGAAAATTCTTATGTAAAATAGATTCATAACAATTTATGTAATAATTTTTAATATTCTTGATAAACTAACTTAACAAATTTATGATGTAATTTATAAGTTGGAACATATGTACATATGTATATGGGCCATGTATAACATCGGAAACAAGTGATTAAATCATATTTAGCAAAAAGTTTAAAGCTTCTCTTGAAGTAAATTTTTTGAGTAAAAAATACGTAGCATTCATTTTATACGTATGTACAGATATTTTTCTATATATATATACTCCCGCTTCATGTTGTAATTGTATACTCTGGTTAAACAAAATAATTTGATATTCCTGTCTTTGTCGAAATATAAATTCAATTACATTTTCTATGTTTAACGATGGATCGTATTTCAACAGATCGATCTATCGAATGATGGACATCTATCGATACAATTCTCTCGCTACACATGCCTTCTGAATGTTAATAAAATGGAAAATATTAAAGGAGCTTGATCTCAGAGTTTAAACAAATATATCCACTTATGATAAACATGTTCGGTAATTAAATGTGCTCTGAAACTAATGTAATGTCGACTGTGTGTGATGGCGGGTAAAGAGTTAGTAAGCCATCAGCAGCAGTTTGTAGAAGAAATTAATTACGATGAGATTGAAACCGAGCAGGTATTAAAAAGTTATCCAGTAACTTTCTTTTATTGTTCGGACAAGTCAAGTTTTTACATCTTTATTGTTGTTAATAAAACGTTTTTCGAATGGTTGCATCAGTTCCGTTTAATTTTTACAATTTATTCTTATTGATCGTTTGATTTTGTTTGAAATATAACCTTAATAACGATCATATCTCAGCGATTGCAATATTTTTTAAGCAAGTTGATGTCGAAGCTTAGTTTGATACTTTATACTCTATACTTTGATATTGAAATTTTAATTTACGCAACGTGAAAGATCTTCTTTCAAAATATTAAGAATTAATTAGAATATATATATTTTTATTTCAATAAACTATAAATATATGTCATTTTTTTAATTTGTAAAAGTAAAAATTAATAATATTTTTTTAGTAGAGTACAAGGTATATTTTTAAAAATTAATTAAAATATTGAATTTTTCTAATATGGTATTTTTTTTCATTTTGTTGAGGTTATGCAGTTTCTAACATTATTAATAAATTTTATTTATCATGTCATTTTTCAGAAAGAGATTATTTGTCTTTGAATTTTAAAAATATTAAATTAAATCAAGCCATCATTTACTTTTGTGTAGGTAGTGGGAAAAGGTTCTTTTGGAGTAGTATGGAAAGGAAAATGGAGAGGACAATATGTTGCTATAAAATACATAAACTCAGAAGGTGAAAAAAAGGCCTTTACTGTAGAAGTTAGACAATTATCTAGAGTTGTGCATCCCAATATTGTAAAACTTTATGGTGCCTGTACTAAAAATCCAGTTTGCCTGGTTATGGAATATGCAGAAGGCGGTTCTTTATATAATGGTATTAAATTGATTTAATTTTATGAAGCTCTTTTATATTTTTAATAAAGTATATTTCTAAATTATTTTTTATTACTTTGATAATGCAAGATTTCATTTATTTGACAAGATATTAAATGCTTTTCTTTGTTTCATATTATCCTATTGACTAATAATAGAGGTTTATTTTTTTGGTCTTATTAATATGTTGCAGTTTTACATTGTAATCCTCAACCACAATATACTGCAGGACATGCAATGAGTTGGGCTTTGCAATGTGCTCGTGGTGTTGCATATCTTCACAATATGAAACCAAAACCTTTAATTCATAGGTAAGTAAGTTAAATGTATTCTTTTTTCTATTGAAAATATGATGTAACAAATTGAAAATTTACTTTCTCAAATGATCTACAACATTAAACAAATTTTATTTATATTTACAGAGATTTAAAACCACCAAATTTGTTGTTGGTTATGGGCGGACAAACTCTTAAAATTTGTGATTTTGGTACAGCTTGCGATTTAAATACTTATATGACTAATAATAAAGGTTCTGCTGCTTGGATGGCTCCAGAAGTGTTTGAAGGTTCTAGATATACTGAGAAATGTGATGTGTTCAGTTGGGGTGTTATTTTATGGGAAATATTGTCAAGGAAAAAACCTTTTGATGAGATTGGTGGTTCAGCTTATAGAATAATGTGGGCAGTACATGTAGGACAAAGACCGCCTTTAATTGAAAATTGTCCTAAACCAATTGAAGATCTCATGACCAGGTATCTATTAATATCTATTAATAAATATTTATAATTATTCTACTGTGCATGTTAATAAAGCATGTTCTAATAATCCATCTAAAAGGGTTAAAATAATTTTCTTTTTTTATAAACTCATATTGTGTTTTTTGATATCCATTACTAATTGTGCAGTAAAAATAATTTTAATTAATGAAAAATATTAATATTTGAAAATATATATATTATAAAAAATATAACAAATATATTAATGCTTTTTATAATTATTAAAATGTAAAATGTAATATATTTATTTATATTTAATATGTTCTATGTATTTTAACATATTTTACTTGAAATAATTATAACTTTATTATGTTTAAAAAAGTTTTGTTAAAAAATAATATTAAACATTTAATTTTAAAAATTCTTGCTGATCAATAATCAATAATTATACTTCTTTATAACTAAAGAAATTTCTTTTCAGGTGAAAAAAATATTTAAGTAGATTAATTGTTATTTCGAATTTTTTAAACAATTTTCCATTTTATATTTTACATTAATTACATTTTATTTGCATATAATATTTGTTTAACTTTTTAATATGCTGTGCCCAAATCATTTCTAATGAAATTTTGATAAAATAAATTTTTCTTCACAGTGTAAACATTGTATATGTAAAATATTCTTCTTTGAAGAGTTGATATTATTTTATTTTGTAATTTCACTATTATTATAACAATCTGCAATGAATTTTCTAGTTATTCACAATTTAAATTGTGAAAAATTACTACCTTACAGGTTGATTTATACATAGTGTCTTCAAGTGTCATTTTCTTTTCCTTTTTGGAATAGAACATTTCTTTAAAAGTATTTAATACAATTATTTGTACTACCTGTTATTCTTCTTCTTAAATAATCAATTTTCTTGATAGGAAAGTGTATATATTAGTTAAAATTGTTCTAAGTACTGTTTATTTCTTAAATCATCTATCCTATTACTTTATTTCTTAAATTATCTATCCTATAAATTGAATAAATAAATTTAAATTTATTAAATTATTAAAAAAATAAAATATGTGAACAGTTCAATTTATAAGTAATTAATATATCATCAATATTTCTGGCATATTCTAATATGTGGTTGATTATTCTAAGTTTTATAATTATGTTTAAGGTTAAGGAAACTAGGGAATGATAAATTAATAATCATCAGTTATTTAATCAATAAGCAGTTGGAATTTAATTGAGGAGGGAATGTAGAATTGTTGAAGGATATGAATATTGGGTTGATTGTTTGCAATGTTGGTATTTTAGAATAGTGGAGCTATATGTAAGATGGTGGTCAATCTATTTGGTGTTAGGATAACTTTAACAGTTTCATAATTCTTCTGAGATTGTTCTGTGCTTTTTAGGGCTTTTAGGGTTTTTTTAAATTTCTTCTTATGAATTTTAGGTTTTGTCCTAGGTGAGGGTGAAGATTGGGGCACATAGTTCATCATAAAATTTTTTTTAAAGAAATTAAGATCTTTTAGCGACTATGGATTCTCCTTTGGGACAACAATACACTCTTTCATCCCCTTCAATGGTTAGGCACTGGGAGCAAATTTTAGTGGTAAGTGAAATTGTCTTCAATGATATTTGTCCACAAATTGATTCCACTGTGCCAGATGGCGAGATTACTTTCCCTTTCGTTTTTCACTTTTCGTTTGATGATACAACATTTGAAGGAATGATCTGTTTTTCAAATTACTGCCTATGGCAGTTTCAGTGGATTTTCTTGCAAGAAATTTAAGAATGCTCCCAGTTATTTTCATCATAAACTTTATTGATAGTAGATTGTGGAAGGGAAAGTGTTGAATTTAGGAAAGAGGATGGAAAATATTGTTCGAATTTATGTGTTATAAATTATTGATTATGATTGAATAAAATAAGATAAAATTGAATGATAAACGGAAACTTAAAATCATATTTCAACTTTTTTGTAGGAAATAGGATTTGCAATTAATATTAAAAAATTAAAGAAAAATGTTTTAATATTTTAAGTACCTATTTCTTCTGGTACATTATTTATAAAAATGTAATCAATGGATTTGAAAACAATTTTTTCATTAGAAAGATATATTTAGGAAATAAAATTTATTTTTTTGTTTACTATGAGCCTGATAAATTATTTTTATATATATGATTTTGGCCAGCATTTTCCTCTATGTTCTTTT